AATGTCAACGTTAAACCCCCAAAATATGTACAATTACGATTCAATAAAAAAATAAAAAAATTAAAAATTAAAAATAAAGTGACTTAAGAATCAGCCTCTATGAATAGTTTAAATGGAACAATTACAGGCAAGAATAATTTCAAAGTAGTTCAGAAAACCCTAATGAACTATAACCTGAAGTGGAATCTGTTAAGTGTGTTACAACAAATGGTGATAAATATACAAGGTGACTTCAAAAAGTTCATAGAAAGATTCATATTATCTTTTAATTCCATTTTTCCATGAGCTTTTTGAAGTACACTCATGTGGAGCGGAAAACAGCACACATGGACAAGTTTACATTTAAAGCTTGTGATTATTCATCAGGAGGTACCTTGCAGAAAATATATGTATTTATCATGTACTGCTGAGCCATTAGTGTCAGCATTAGCGAACTTCATTTGGTCTCATAAATTTAACCATCATCAGTTCCATGAATTTCTGTTAGAAATAATCTTGATGTGTCCTATCACACAGCAGCCCAACCATTTATCAGTAGTAAAGTTTTACTGTGAATTTTTGAGCTCAGGGCCAAGGTTCAAATTTTTCTGAACAAGAAGATCCAGCCTCAACCACTATTATCAAACATTAAATGGCTTTGAAAATTAGATTTTGCTACAGATTTGATACTTTTTTTGAATTCAACTTAAATTACAGAACAAAACAGTGATGATATAAGAGACTCATACTGTCATTTTGAGTACACCTAAGGTTGTTTGAATTATCAAGTAATATCAACCTGCTTCATACGCTTCCCATGTACTCAAAAATTAAAATAAGAAATGAGAATTCCGGGCCGGCCCGGTGGCGCACTGCTACAGTGCGCCGCTTGGGAGCGCGGTGGCGCTCCCGCCAAGGGTTCGGATCCCACATACAGACCGGTTCCCGCTCACTGGCTGAGCGAGGTGTGGGAGCCACACTGAGGGTTGCGATCCCGTTGCCGGTCCCGGTCCGGTACGGGCGCGACACTGAGGGTTGCGATCCCGTTGCCGGTCCCGGTCCGGTACGGGCGCGACACTGAGGGTTGCGATCCCGTTGCCGGTCCCGGTCCGGTACGGGCGCGACACTGAGGGTTGCGATCCCGTTGCCGGTCCCGGTCCGGTACGGGCGCGACACTGAGGGTTGCGATCCGTTGCCGGACACGAAAAAAGACAAAAAGGAAAAAAAAAAAAAGAAAGAAATGAGAATTCCATTCTCACAAATCTGCAGTGGATATATTTTCCAACTCAAACTAGAGTTCAGGTCTCATTCAGATCTCAATACAAATGCAAAAGATATTTCCTTATTTCAAAATCCATTTAACTGCGGAATTGGGGAAGTTCCACTTAACTCTCCAATGGTAATGATAAATCTGCAATGTAATGACATACCAAAAAGGTAAGTTATCAAGAAAATAATCTAGCAGAATTCTAGAAATGCTTTCCATGATGTAAATATGCTGAATTAATGTTATATGTACATGGACTGGTAACTGTATTTAGCAATATCTGTATGAAAAGATTTTTTTCAAAGATGAAAATACATAAAAACTCATTATATATCAGCACTAATAGATGAATGTTTGCAATCAATTTTGGTGGCAGACAACACTAACTTTGAACACCAATTAAGTAAAATGTTATCCCCTCACCAAAAAAAACTCCATTCTTCTCATTAGCATACCAGTATTACAGAGTATTATCATATATTATTATTATTATATTTGTAATTAGAAATTTATGGAAATTTAATTATGTCTTGTTACATAAGTACCTACATAATTTCTTTGATTTTGTCTATTGACCTACAGCCTAAAATATTTACTATCTGGCCCTTTACAAAAAATACTTGCCAATCTCCAATTTAAATCATTACATTTAAACCTTTTAAATCATTGCAGAGTAGAAAATGTAAGGCAATAGTGAAAACACACTTAAATCATACAATTTCCTGCTGCACTACTTACTTTCATTCATGCCTGACTCTCATTTCTGTATTCTCATTATAAAACAATTTTGCACTAAAGTTTCTAAGAGTTCAGCTTAGATAACACTAGAAGGTTTCAGAAATTAGCTTTCACTACAGATTTGATCATTGTTACCTAATGAATTCCACCTAAAACTACAAGACAAAACAGTGCTTACATATAAAATTCATACTGTGGTAAAAGACGGCTTGCTTATTTTTATGGGCAAACAACCCAAAATCAACATAGCATAAATAAATAAAGCCCAAATAGAAATGGTAGGTTTTTTTATGGCAGACCAAATACAAATGTTAGCATACTTAGTTTAAGTGTACAAGTGGAGACCTTGACCACAATTTTATCAGTATTATGTATGTTTGGGAGGGAGAAGGAACAGAGAGAGAGAAATTCTTTTATTCTCCTATTACTGAAAATAGTTCTGGTAATTTCACTAAATAAATTTTATATAAGAAGTATAACCAACTGAGTAAAATGTGAATAAAATCTTTCTACATAATCCACCAATTATTCTTACGAAAAATCCTTTATACTTTACAATTATACTACACATATCTTCACATCATTCAAATAAATATACTGAAGTAGAATATTTTAGTGTTACCATCCTGAAACTGTGTAAAAGGTTCATCACAACACAGAATGATTACATATCTACTTATACATAAAATCTTCTACAATGGTATTCGCATTAGTACTTCTCCATTTGTTCTTTATATTTGGTTCTGTACTCATTCTGACTGCGCTCTAAAGCTTAAGTACTTTTTATACAATGCTAAAAAAACACTTAAATTAGTGTCTTTCCTGCATAGAAATTACCGAATTAATTGGGAGAGTACAATTTAAGTAACCTCATTAATTTGATTATGAACCTGTGATAAGTGAAAGGTAGAAATAAGTGATTTCCAGAATCCAGTAGGAAATCCTTGCTCTTCTCTCCCCTTCCAAACAAACAAAACTAAATGGGACTGATCCTAGGCCTATAGCTCAGAGCAAAGTCATTCTACCACTACTGCCCTCTCTAGTGATAAATTAGATCCTTTGTATAATCTTTAAATTCAAAAGAGCTAGTTGCCTCATCAACAATTTTTAGCAAATCAAATAGAACAGAATGAGATGGTAGTCCAAAAATTGAGTCAGCAATCTACACACCTAAAGAAATAATAAATCATATCCATCTGGAGAGAGATTAGTCAGACACAACAAGAAACAGAAGTCACAATGGCAAATGATGACAAAGACTGTCTAAGCAATGGCCAAGGGGAAAGGTGCCTTGGCCTTGCAACATGTCTTTCTTTAATGAAGAGATGCAAATATCAGGCTACTTTGACATTATTAAAAATTTAAAGGATATAATTTATTATGTGCTCATTGTGCAACTATACTGTGATTTCCAGTGTAGCTTCCTTACAGAGAACATATATGTGCTAGAAAGAGCATGTGAGCACAAAGTACCCTTTACAATTACATTTCTCACTGTAAATTAATAAATTAGCATTTGATTTCAGATGCTGTTCATATAAGCTTGATTAAAATGAACCAATTTCTCATGGTATACTAACATTATTAAGTTTCTCAGCCTTTCTCTGGGCCATGGCAAATTACCAAAGTAATGCTACCCTATGGGACAACTTGGGATCCAGACAGCTGATTTCCCAAAGGCAACATAACCTTCTGCACTGCTGCTCATCATCAGCAGTTACTTATCCTTTCACCTGCTACTTAACAAAGATGGTGATGAAAATTATTCAGGTACTTAGAACCAGATTCTATGACTATGGATTGGTCATCAGTGATCTACAAGAGTGTTCCAACATAAAATGCAAATGTAATTACTACCAGTATAACATATGGAAGCATGTTTTTATAAAATCTACTATACTATGACCTTTACACTAATGTTTAAAGCTTTAAAAACATTATACAAACTTCTCAAAAATATTAATATTGACTCAAAAAAGTTAGAAATAATTCAAATGTAAATCACAGGTCTCCCCAAAATTGACTTCTATCAACTTATTCAAAGGTATTTGATCATTTATATCTATTACATTTAATCCAGATTTTTTAAAAATTCCCAATATCAATGTATTTAAATTAAATAATTAAGTTTTTTAAGTTTTTTTTTCTTGTAATTATTAAAGTAACTTTTATAGGGGAAGAGTGACAAAATTTACCAAAGTTCTTGATGAATTATAATGTACCCACAGATTTATCAGAATGATTGGTTATTATGATGTCACTCTACCTATTTAAAACTCAATAATTCCTAAGGAAACTTATGAAATATTCTGTATAGGCTTTTAAGATAAAATGTTAAAATAGTATAATCAAATCAGAAACTGAATTTTGGGAGTTTTGCTTTCATAAAGAAAACTAAAAGACATTTAAAGAACAGAAGTTAGTAATTAGTAAATTCTGGAAGATCAAAGAGCTGTTTAATTTTAGTTCTCAAATTTGACATATTAAAATATATTAGGAATTCCATTCCAGAATATTTATGACAAAAAGACACTGCAGGAAAACTGAAGCATCAATCTAAAAATACCAAATTTGGGCAGGTAAATGATTGCAGGATTGATAGTGTCCAGAATTCACTGTTGTAGATGATGATAAAACACTGAATCAATTCTTTCTCAATGTAATTTACAAAAATATTAAATTGGCTTGATTTCAAAATAATTCTACATTTGATCTTACATATTGCTGCAAATATCTAACTGTAAAGAACCAAAAGCTTTTTCAATCACACCATAAAATACGACTTCAACAGTGAGACAATTATCTGAGTTATATGGTATGACTTTTGTCTCTAATTAAAACAAAAATAAGATCTTAAGAAGTTCTGTTCTAAGCATTTCAAGTGAATGTCTTCGACTTATTCACAGCAAAACCCCATTCTGAAATTCCAAATAACTTAGTTTTTAAATACTAAGATTTGTCCAGACCAGAAGCAAATACAAGTTTAAAAACAGGTATTTAAAATAAACATGGGAACAGTCACTCACAGAGGAACATGAGAAGCAGGAAAGACAAGAAGTACAACACTAAAAGAAACATCCATCAAGAAAAAGACCTGGAAAAGAAACCAAAACTTAGAATTAAAGATCAAATGAGGTTTGGCAGGATGGGGGAGGGGAAAATGTGAGGACTGAACTAACTAGACAATCCAATGAATATTAAGACAACTAAAACAATATTTGAATGCAGAAATTATATGAAAGACTGAAAATTCAGAGAAGATCTACATCAATTTATGAAGATCTAGAAATTGATATAGCAAACTAAGCTCAGCCAACAGCAGCCAACAAAAAAGTATGAAAAGTACTCATCAAGGACATATATAAACACCCAAGTATAGTATATTAAATATACTAGGTTTTTTTCATATGAACAAATTGGTTCAAATCATGTCATGAAATTAAAGAAAATATTAAAGATTAATTTTTGTCCTTCAAAATAATGAAAAGAGATATATATAAAATAAAAGCATTTCTATGTTAAAGAACAGTAGTGGTTAGTCTTAAAATTCAGAAAAGGAGTTAGAATTTTAAAATAGTGACATACATTTGATACTGATACTAATTTTGTTAAAATTGAATGGATTAAAAATAAAAGACTATTAAAATTATGTTCAAGAGAGACTATTAAGCTAAAAGAAAACTAAAATCTACTTTTGTGCAATTCTCAGTCATAAATAATTATAACATTACACATCAAAACTATAAGAGAACACATATAATCAAACCAAAATTTCATAACACATTTTTATCATGTTGCTAACAAAATACCATCATATTCCCAAACTGGTTTCTATTTTCTCCTATTCTTACAAAGATCAATATTAAAACACTTTGACAAAAGGTGATGTTAAATTCATTACTAAAAATTACACAACGGTTGCCAGACTACTCCTGACATATGTGCCAACAATAACTTTGTCTATGCTTCATTCAAAAATAAGTCTCAGGAGTTTGTGATCATGGCATTAACTATATGGTATATTAATTGGTAGATTAACATTAAAGGGTATGCTACAGATATTACTAAAATCTCTAAGATGTTTTGGGTAAATCAAAAATTACTCTTTAATGAAATGCAAAGCTAAATTAATTGAGTTTGACTGTATAAGCTTGCACCAAAAGTACCATCCTGTGTGCAATGGATTTTCAATAAATCTGAGTAAAATACATAAGCTGAAGAACATTATAAAAAAGAGAACCTTCGCTTTATGTATACTAAAATTCCCTCATACCTATTAATATGTTCTGTTACTATAATTCACTTTTCTTGAAGTTCACTAGCATCAAAATGCTGATTATGCTAACAAAATATAAAGGTTAAATCAGATTCTAATACCTCTTACCACAAACATTTCAGTGTAATGAGATTAATACCCACCCATCTAAATAAATGTTCCCTCTAAGTATTAGCCAACTAATTACGTATGTTTAATATGAAAATATTTCTGCAATAACTACAATTAATTCCATGCTACAATCAAACAGAACCGAAAGGTACAATGCTAAACAAGATATACCTGTACACATTTAAACCTCAAAACAAATCCCTAAGGAAATTATACCATTTTTCAGATAAGAAAACTGATGCTTGATTTGCTGCAACAAACAAATCATAACAGAGTTCTTTCTTGTATCTCCCTTATATTAAGACATGCTCCATTAGCACCCAAACACACACACACACACACACACACACACACACACAGCATCAGCTAGAAAAATCATTAGAGGAAAATTAATATAAAGAGGATATAAGGGACGTTTTCATGTTTTATGAGTACAGAGAAAAAAAACATTGTCTAATCAAGTTGGTGATAGCTTCTTAGAAAAGTCTATGAAAATGAAGATCTAATAAAAAATAAACTGCACAAAATACTAATATGTTAATATTGAAGTATTACTTCATATAACATAGTAAATGTATAAACTTTTGAAAGCTTAAGAGACATGAGTTATTACATATTACATATATATAAAACCAAATAAAGCTTTGTTTTGTTTAGGGATACACCTCTTACTGCTCAGGCTGACATAGGATAGGACAGAACCACCCTATTTTCTAAAATACCAAGACAACCAACAGGTTTTGAAAATTATTTCAAGTGCAATATAATATTCTCAAACAGAATAATATGCCAGTCTAAGTGTAGAGTGCAGAAAATCACATACTATAAAAATAATATATATTTAATATATAAATACTTATAATTTTGTGACTATATATTAAAATCCCACTTTATATACTTTTTATATAAAAGTAAATAACTTATATCTAAATACATTTATTTCTATATATGAACCCCAACAGGTGGGTGCAAAAGGCTAAACTAGCTAAATTATCACCCACTTCATATAATAACTTCTTTGCAGTTATCTTCTCTCACAGGTGAAAGATCTCTATTATAAGATAAATTTACACACCTGTAGTATGAATATTCCACTTAAAGGATATTAAAGATGAAAATATTAATTGTAATATTAATATTTTTAATATTAATTCTCTTAATATTTAAATAAACTAGTCTTTATAACTTTGAATGAAAATTGTACCATTAAACAGGTAATATTAAATATGTCAATGAAGCTACATAAGTCAAATTGAGATTATAAATAGAATCATAAGTTCAAAATAAAAGCAGTCATCATTTGTTGAGTCCTCTTGGTGCCAACCATTTTATACAGTGTCTCCTTTAATCTTCAACAATAATGTAAATTCTATTAACTTTATTATAAAATAAAAACAAGACCACTGATAGAAAGGTTAAATAACCTATCAGCAACAGAATGAGTGGCAGTGCTGGGATCTGAAGCCAGGACTGACTTCAAAGCCTTAAATTTGTAGTGTTTCCAAATGATTAACTTCTCTTTACAAAGCTGGCACTGCCTTTATTTAGATCAGGGATTTCAAACTGAAAGGCCAATAGGGTCTACGAAGGTAGCATAATAAGTGAAGAGGGCTAAGGAAAAGGCAACAGAGTAGTGATGCCTTGGTAACCTAGAGAAAACATCTTATCAAAAGAAGGTAGCTACTGCTCAGATTAGGCTGTTGCCATGCAAGACTGTGGACCCAGTACCCATTCAAGCCAGACAGCTTCTTCAAAGAAGCTGGAAATCCAGACTGTTTATGTGACAAACTCTTGTTTTTAAACGTTGGTAAATAAAATAAAATATTAAATTACAATGGATGCCTAATAAAACCTGGCGCCACATTTAGATTGGCACAATGAATGATTCCAGAAGTATGCTATACAAGATGTCTGGTGACAATGCAATGACACTTATGAACAGGCAGGCTGCATCTAACTCTGAGAAGAAGAAACTTTCCTACCAGCATCCTTAAAATCTACCCTATAACCAAATATTCTTCTTTCAAGTCTTTCTACTTGCCATGCTCTTCTCATCACAGAACTTTTACTCCTGCTTTTTGTTCACAGTTCCTAAAATATGTTTTCTTGCCATCTTTACCAAGTTAACTTCTATTCAAACTTCAGATCATACATCAAGTACTAATTCCCTGATGAAGTATTCTGACTCCTGCAACAAGTTCCCCAATTTTAGGATTTCATGGAACAATGTATACCTCTACACATTTGGCAAAGTCACAATTTTGTATTTGAGTGACTAATGTTTTTCTCCCCTGCCTGACCATAAACTAAGTCCACAAGAACATGTCTGGCTTTGTTCATCTTTGATGTCCCAGCACCCAGCAAAGTGCATGGCACATAGCATGCACTCAACAAGTATTTGCTGAAAGGAGAACAGAAGGAAAAAAAGGAAAGAGAGCCCTAAGGAAGAAAGCCTTAAGCAAATATCTCCATCTTCCGTTGGCCTAGGCTCTAGACCCAATTCCAAAAAATTACTGCTACTATAATACTCCATAACAGTTCAAGCAGAGATGAACAATAAATTAACAACAAAATGACAGTGATGGAAGCTTTAGAAACAGTGATGGGCAGGGAAGTTACTAATGTATGTGTTCCTGCTTTTAAGAATATAATCTGGTTAAGAGACTGAGATTCTAGACCCTTCTGACAGTGAAAGTTAGTGGTGATATTACTACATCTGTAACATAAATACTGGAAATCTACCTGAGTTTGCTACCAAGAAAATGGATCCCCAAAGAAGACTTACTGAAAGAAGTACAACATCTATTGGAATCGATTCAAGTGAAGATCTTACAGGATAGCTTTCAATTTGTACAATTTGAGGGTGCAAAATGCTTCCTCAAAAATGAAGACAGTAACCAAGAGTCAATGATAGTCAAGAAGAACAAAAGAAAAGAGCAAATAGGGGTAGGAGTTTGTAACCTTCCCACCTGAACATGAGCAGGCTAGACAGGATAAAATGAAGTGGTTCTCAACACAATTATCAAATCCCTATAAACAACAACAGTGAACTGTGATTATATCTTATTACATCACCAGCAGAACCATAAATAGGTTCCTTGCTACTGCTCGACTAAGGCAGGTCTTCATTATTTCTTCTCATTTACTGTGTACTGAAAAGCATTGTCAAGTGACATTTTCTTAGTCTAAGATGGCCCTTTCACAAGAGGAATCCATGAAAGTATTTCCCCCACTGAATGGTTCCTAATTCCAACCCCTAACTCTAAGAAAGCTTTACTTAACCTCATTCTATGAAACACTAGTTCTTTTCAAGACTATTCCCAACAAAAGGGAGGGGAGGGGCAAACAAGCTTAGGAAGGAGTGCATACTCTTGTTTTCCAATTAAGATAGTCCTGTCTTAAGAGCAATGAGATTCCTAGCATTTGGTTCTGTCAAGTATGTACCTTGTAAGCATTACATCAACCACTGCAATCTGTCTTTTTCAAGAGCAAAAAAGCATTACATTTTAAAAAAACAAAACTGACCTTATAACTCCTCAATCGTTTTAAACACTCTAATCAGCATCATCACAAGTTAATCAAAATAGCTTTTATTTACATACACTCAACTCAGTTTGAAAAAAAAGAAACAGGACACTCACAAATCAAATAATACATCACACAGACCCAGCAGAGCAACAGATCATTAAAGATTAATGTTTGAAATAGGAAATACTAAAGAACAAAGATTTTCTTCAACATCTGCTACTCACATAAAACGCCTGGAACAGAAGAACATCTGCTGTCAAAATAACTTACCGTTACAGATTTCAGTGTCATACCATGGTAGGTGCCCATAGTGTCAATTTTGAAGCCTTCCGTTTCTACAAAGAAAAGGGTTACGTTTTAGAGTTTATCAATTTCATTATCGAAAAAAAATCTAAATAATAATCTACATTATATCTGACAGTTTAATGGTATAACAAATCCTTAACCTATTATGTAAAGTTAAAGTACATATTTGTGAAGATAGAAACTTTAAAAAGGACACTAATCTCAAAAATATGTTCAGTACACACCAAGCCTTTTGTGTAGAAGCTGGCTAAGACTATTTCTACAATTAATCTAATCAAAAATTAAATTGAATAAAATACTTTATAACCCACAAATTATTTATACTAATACTCAATGAAAGTACCACTAAAACCATCTAATATGAGAAGTTACAAAAAGTTGTGTTCCAAAGTTAACGATCATAAGGCATATGCAATACATTTTGTTGAAAGTGATATTACAAATAATGATGGGAGTTCCAGGACAGAGTCCCAATATGCCTTTCCATAAAGGGTCATACAGGAAACATTTTGCACATCACAGGCCATAAAGTCTCTGTCACAACTACTGAATTCTGTAGCTGTAGGACAAAAGCTGGATAAACAATATACGTGTACAAATGGAAGCAGCCCGATTTGGCCCATGGAGGGTCAGATTTGGTCTGTGGGCCGTAATTATCCAACCCCTACTTTATATAATTCATTCCACAAGAAAAACATTGCAGTGAATAAAAGAATGGACCACTGTCTTTCGATGGCACATATTCAATGTGTGCTTATGCAGTTAATGAAGTCAGCACACAAAATTCACTGTCTAAAGGCTACTTAAGTTTCTTTGAAGGTTACATTAAGATTTCAGATTAGGTAAACAAAAATCATGAATGTGAAATTTCTAGTCACTTCTATCTTGTACTTTCATGAATCAAGTCAAAGTGAAGGAAGATCCCAAGAGGAAATTACACTGATGTCAATTCCACCTCACTAATATGGAAATGGTTCATTTCATTAGCCAGAATACCATGTAGGCTATCACAAAGTAAGTCCTCACATCATTGCTACAAACCTATGCTTCCCAAGTTTTCTACGTATATATTTATAGTTTGAGAAACAAAATTTGATATATAGAATTTCCACTAAAATAAACTCTTCAGAAACAAAACTAGTATTAATAACAGCAAACATTCGTAGTTTATTACATAATATATACTATTCTAGGGACTTAATATTTATTAACTAGTTTAATCCCCACAATAACTCTAGCAGATATGTGCTACTACTATGGTTATTATTATAATTATACACAGGAATAAACAGAATAAAGTCAGAGTAACATAAAATTCATACAAAAAGTAACTGTGACACAAGCTATGTGGATCTAGAACCTGCCATTGACCAGGGGTTGGCCGATTTTTTTCTGTAAAGTATTTTCAGGCTTTGCAGGCTATAAGGTCTCTGTCAAAACAACCTAATACTGCTGTCACAGAGCTAAAGTAGCCATAGATAACACATAAATGAATGAGTGTGGCTGTTCCAACAAAACTTTATTTACAAAAACATGCAGTGGGCCACATTTAGCCTGCAGGTGTCACTCTTAAACATGAGGCAATACTCTCTGTCAAGTTCAGCACATCCAGAGTAAGGGGAAGATAAAAATTAAACATCTTGCCTTCTTTTCCTTTGAATCTTTCTTGGTCATATCTGTTGTAAGCAGCTGGGATAGGCTGTTTGGTACGTAATGTGGGATCCTGTAGAAAAATAAACTATGAGTTACATGTTAACATTTTTAAATATCACTTAATTAATACTTATATAATTCAAGCCATAAGAAGGATATTTATTTTGTTTCTTAGCCAATAAGACAAAAAGTGAGGATTTGACCACTAATCATTTAATGCTTATTTAGTAGGTATTGTTTACTGCTAGAAAATTACCATCCCTAGAATGGGCAAGAGCAAAAGGATCTCTGGTATACTTATGTTTAGGCAAAAAGCAAAACTCTTAGAAACTGCAGAAATAAAATGGGTGTGCTTAGTAATTTAATTCTGGTTACTTAAATGCCTTTATGAAATAATACTCTCTCCCCCAATAATGATTTCTTCTAACAACAAAAAAAAAACCTTTCTAGTCAAAATTTATTGAGCTGATATTTCAGAGCCTTTTAACTGAAATATCCACCAAGTTGTTAATCCTTAAATTAAACATGAAAACTATGACAATAAATCCATTATAAATGTACAGGGTAAGACAGGGAAATGTATAGGGGAAGTAATAGGTGTTATTTTTTAGAACACTTAGAAAAAGCTGTCAATCTAATGATTCATTATTTAATTCACATTTACCCAAAATTCATAGTATCTGCTATAATTTAAAAGTGTATATTTAAAGAATATTCTCAAAGCTGCTTAGGAAATTCATGAAAACTGAAATAGTTTTCATTTTGTTTCAACAGGATTCCATTCCAAGTATTACTCGAAGCAAAATATAATTATCAAGACTGCTACTAGGTATACACACTCCTATAGTCAAAAGCCAAACATTAAAATTTTTCAAGTATTCTAATGATTATAAATACAAAGAAAGAATATTCACAGTCACAAAGATAATGTTTAAATTGTTTTAAGGTTTGACATGTTTCCACCAAGTGCTGTTCGAAATGTCAACCAATTCACAATTATAAGCACCCTGTGCTTTACCATCCTAACACTTACCTCTACTACCTTTTTTTTTTTAACATCTAGTAAGTCTAGCTTACTAGACTATAAGCTCAAAGAGGTCAGGAACTGTGAGTCTTTCCCATCATTATATCTCAAGATCCCTTGCATACTGTCCGGCAAATAGGAGGCACTTCAATACTTGCTGGAGGATCAACTCAAAGCATTTACCTAATTATTAGCAAAAATCCACTATCTCTAAAAGTTAAATACCAATGATTTCATAAGCAAATAAAACTACTACATCTTGCAAAGGCTGTATTAGTACTCTATCAAATTTTGATATACTTTTTAAAACAACATAAAATAGAAACAACTTTATTTAAAGAATTTAAGATTCTTTTGTCGTATCATATAAAAATAACTGGAAGGATTTTCAACAAAACTAGAAGGTACGTTCAAGTTTAAATAAAGACTATATGTCACACATGAAAATTTACTTTGGGAGGGTCCTAGAGTAAGGCCGTCAGCTCTCACAGCAGCTGAAACTGAAACACAATGAAATGGCCACATGGCTAGAGATCAAGGAAAATACATCCACCAAGATGTCATAAATAGTAATGATGTCAAAAAGAGCCCCAAACTGGAAGGTAACAAGGATTTATATTTTTAATGATTAGCGATTCTTCCAAGTAACAACGAGTAGGCTAGCTACAGTGTACTTAAAATAATTAGTTAGAGGGATTTTCCTAATTAATCCCTTTCAGACTCTGACCCAGGTATGCCTCCAGTTAAGAATTATTGCTTCAGGGCCGGCCCGTGGCTCACTCGGGAGAGTGCGGTGCTGATAACACCAAGGCCCCGGGTTCGGATCCCACATAGGGATGGCCGGTTCGCTCACTGGCTGAGCGTGGTGCTGACAACACCAAGTCAAGGGTTAAGATCCCCTTACCGGTCATCTTAAAAAAAAAAAAAAAAAAAAAAAAAAGAATTATTGCTTCAAGTAAGTAACTTTAAATGCTGAAGAGAATTTCACATCCTTTAGGTATGTTGAAGCAGCAAAAGGTTTAGAACGTACTGATTTAAAAATGTTAAGACGTCTTCAAAATTACAACACTGAAATAAAAGTGGCACTTGCATTAAAATTACTATAAAGCAGTAAAATATTCTTACCACAGGTGCTGCATTTGGGGCCGGTCGCTGTTCAGGTGCACGCCCTTCTTCTCTGGCTTTTACAGACTGAAGAATTGCAAAAATATTCTTGGAAAAATTCTAAAATATAAATAATTTTAATTAAGCCCACTTAAAATTAAATATAGAAAGACAGTAAGTTTACTTAATAAACGCTTTAATACTAAGTTTTCTTCCTACAAATTATTCCCTACTATACAAGGTACTTCAAAAATTCAGGGAAAAATTCATATTATCTTTTAATTCTACTTTTCCACAAATTTTTTGAAGTACTCGTATCATAATGATGTATCATTATTATTCATATAAGTAAAAACGAACTACTACTGGGAAATTGATCTGGAGATCAATTATTATAAACCTAGTGTTATTATTTTCATTTTATTTAAACTGCACAATTGGCTACGAATTTATTCATAATCTGCATCTATTCAAATATATATAAAAGATTTAAATAAAATAAAAATATAACAGACCTGTTGTCAAAAGAGGCTTCCTATTCTAAATAAAATCAATTCCTATATTCTCATCTAGGTATAATAAACTCCAGTGCTAATTTCAGATTGCCACAGATTACATATTGAAAGTTTTGAGGAGTCAGTGTGCACTTTTCAAAGCTTTGTAAGTTGGAAAATGTAGATGCTCCTCATTTTACAATGGGGTAATGTTCCAAAAAACCCATCGTAAACCGAAAAAAGAATTAAGTCAAGTATGCATTTAATACCCCAATAAACCCATCATAGAAAGTCCAGAAGTTCCTCAACTTACAATGGGGTTACATCCTGATAAACCAACTGTAAAACAGAAAACTTGTTAAGTCAAACCATTGTTTAAGTCGGGGACTGTCTGTATCTACAAATAAACTTAAACTTTTACATTAACAATCTTAGCAACACTCGACACAGCTAACTAATTTGACTACTCCTTCTTTGGTGCTATAGTTTGAATGTCCCTGCCAAAGATCATGTTAAAATCTAACTGCCACTGTAACAGTGTTAAGAGGTAGGGCCTTTAGGAGGTGATAAGGTACGAGCCCTCATGGATGGATTAATGCTGTTGTTCTAAGAGTGGGCTCCTGATAAAAGGGTAATAAGTTTGACCCCATTTCTCTCTGTCTCACCTGCTCACTTCCAGCCATCTGCCTTTCCACCATGGGATGACCCCCACCAAATGCCGGCGCCATGCTCTTGAACTTCCCAACCTCCAGAATTGTAAGAAATAAATTCCTCTTTTTTTATAAATTACCCAGTCTGTGGTATCCTGTTACAGCAGCAGAAAAGGAACTAAGACACTTGGCCTCTGTGACACTACTCTCTCTTGGATTTTCACCCAAATGCGTAATGGTTCTTTCTGAGGATTTTCATATTCTGCCTGTCAGTCACTCAACATTTTAAGGAATATGTATTAAGAATCTACTATAAGCCAAATACTTTGCTTGGCACTTGGATATAATGAAGATCAGGGGAGACATGGCCCCTCTCTTCATGAACCTCAAATGTAACATGATTTATCATCTCAAGACAATTAAGCATTCTGTTTCCTTGGCTTGGACCACTCTTCACACCTTGCCCCTTCACCTACCACACTAGTTTTTACAATTTAGGTATTATTCTCTCCCCTTTATTCTCGATTAAGTTAGCTGTCCTTGCTGGGTGTCTACCCTATAAAGCATGTCACAATTACTTCTTTTTTAAATTTCTGTCTTCTGCTAAAGAATATAATCTTTGTGAGAGCTATGACCAATGCATCTCTAGTCAGTGCCTAGCACTTACCTCATTTATAGATGTTAAATAAATATTATACAAATAAGTATGTACACAAAATGAGAGATGGCTTGAAACATAACTATTACCACTGCACCAGTTACAGTACTAACTAGTTCCTATAATTCTTTATAGCAACAAATACAGGTCTCAGAATCCCTTTGCACTCTTAGAAAGTATTGAAGACCCAAACAGCTTCACTTTGTGTAAGTTACAATATTTATCATATTAAAAATTAAAATTGAGAAATTAACAAAATATAATTCCTTTAAAAATAAGAAAAACAGATTCCACGTAAACATAAATGACATTTTATGAAAAAGCTTTCTAAAATGCACAAAAAGTAGTGACAAGAAAGAACGGCACTGTTTTAAATGTTTACAAACTTCCTTCATGTCTGGCTTAATAGAAGATAGCTGTACTTCTTTATTACTGCTATCTTACTTGATCAAAGAATATAAAGAAAATCTAGCCTCATAAAGACAGTGAGAAAGCGGGGAACCCTGTGATAGCTTTTCAGATAATGGTGGATATTCTTATGGTGATATAATGGTGATATCTTATCAAAATCCAATAAAATTCAATGAAAGTACTTTCCAACTTACAAAGCTTTGAAAAGTGCACACTGACTCCTCAAAACTTTCAATATGTAATCTGTAATTTCTTAAAGGTTAATACAATGTAGAAACCACATCCATAAACTTTTTGTATTGTTTCTTTAAAATCCATCGGTCCCTCTTACACTTTAAATAGATTTTTCACCCATGCATGATTTCCTAACAGCATTCACTGGCCATAAGGAAAATATCAATCACTGAGTTATACAGATTTTCAAAATATTAGCAAGTTGCATTACATAATATCAACAAATTACATTTGTCAATATCGTCATTTGTAAAAGACTCATCAAAAGGGTCTTTGAGAATTAGAAAGCTGTTAAGGTCACGGTAGCAGAAAGAAACCTCCCAAAATTCTAATTTTCTCATGAAAGCTCACATCTTACACTGGCAACAAATATTGTCAGTTGCTCTCCTTGAAGGAACAGACTTACTTCCTACATTTTGAAAAACTTCTGTCAAATACCCAATTCTGAATAACATAGCTATTCAAATGAAAAAAAGGTTGTTTTTGTGAAAAAGCAGCTGATTCAGCTCACAACTTAAACAATGGCACAAGTGGTGTTCATAAAGATAACCATCATATTTTGGTATGCAGAGGTGCTTTATACATTCCAATTTTATCACACAAAATACTAAAAAGACATATTCAAAGGCCAAGATTTCATAAAATTAACTAATTTTAAAACTTCATCAAAGACTGTATTATGAAGAACAAACACAATGGCTACTAGTAAAATTTGGTGCCACTTCCTTGATTCACACCATGGTACCAGCAGTTTTACCAGTCACTGCTTTTGAAACATCCCTGCAAAAGTCAACACAGTGAAAATGCAAATATAATCTTAGTCCTATTATGAACATAGTTGAAAATATATGAAAATTAAATCTCACTACTTTAAAAATAATAAAGTATTAAGAAAGACAAACTCTAGAAGAATCAGTCAAAATGTTATCAGCTTTTTCTGCATCATAGAATTATAGGTGATAATTATCTTCCTTTTACTGATCTCTCAATTTTTCAACAATGAACATAACGCTAACTCATATAACTTTAAACGTATATTTTTGAATGGCATTATAAAATCAGGTTGCTTTATCTGGAGTATTTGTAAAAATAAGAATATAATAAAAGACATATTAATGTTTCTCATGGACTCTTGAACCTGTCTTTTGTTCCTGAAACTCATAAAATAACAAGGCCCTGATAACTGGTAACAATGTAGGTCTATCTCAAATCTATAGAACTGTAGGTACCTGTACTGGTCCATTTTGTGTTGCTATAACAGAAATACCTGGAACTGGGTAATTTATACGTAAATCAAATTTATTGCTCATAGTTTGTGAGGCTGGAAAGTCCAAAGTCAATCTGGTGAAAGTGACAGTGATCCAAGGGTCTCAAACTGTAAGATGATAGAAGCAGAGGGAGAGAAAGACCCACTCTCCACTTTTAAAGCCCTCAGAAACACTCCCATGACCACCATTTTTAATCCATTCACTACTGCACGGTCCTACAATCCAATCACCTCTTCAAGGCTCCACCTTTCAATTACCATAATAGGATTTCCCACCCTCTTAACAGTCACAGTGGGGACTAAGTTTCTAACACATAAAACTTATGGGACACAATTCAAGTTTCAATGAACTTGTGGGGACATAACTCAATCCACTACAGTACCTTAGAGTATTCTTAAGAGTGTAGTGGATGGGCCGGCCCGTGGCTCACTCACGTGAGTGCGGTGCTGATAACACCAAGGCCCCGGGTTCGGATCCCACATAGGGATGGCCGGTTTGCTCACTGGCTGAGCGTGGTGCTGACAACACCAAGCCAAGGGTTGAGATCCCCTTACCGGTCATCTTTTTTTAAAAAAAAAAAATAAAAAGAGTGTAGTGGATGAAAACAGTACACAGAGAAACTATCAGTCAAAATATGTTTCTGATTTTTTAAAATGTTAATACTCATAGAAACAAACCTACTTACCAAACAATTCTTTTTTTTTTGTATGTATACGTATAGTTGTACATATCTGTGGGCTACAGAGTTGAATATCAATATCTACAGCAATACATGATGCTCAAATCAGGATAATTAACATATTCAACATTATACAATGCAGTCATCATTTTTCATGACCCTTTACCAATTACTCCCTTAACTGCTCCCTCCCTGTTTCTCACCTCTGGTAACCTCAGTTCTCAAACAATTCTTAAATCATTAACTTATTTTAAAAAAAGATACAGTGGTTCCAATAATATTAAATTAAATTAGAACACTAAGTGTTGAAATGGTGGTACAATCCTGCCACCTAGAGCTCAAAGAAAATTGTTCATCTCCGTTATTTGAAAATGTAATATTTGGTCTAAAATTAAGGTAGAGAATATATCACCTATTTTATTCCTTTACCATGAGTTTCAAGTTTTTCAGTGATTATAATGAACACTGGTGGGATCAATATGTCACAATACTATTCAAGTATTAGTCATATCAGGCAGTGAAAATGAATAAACAGATCATTTTACTGTAAATAACAAAACTAGAAAATGAAAGTTTACTCATATCCTCAGATTGCTCTATAAATTCTAAGATCTGCGAATGATCCTTAATCTCAACCTCAAGTACTTTGTAAAAGTACAAAAGAAAAAGAATTCTTTTTTTCATACACTTTATCCTGGTAGCTTTATCCCTACTAAAATGTTAGCACAGAAAATGTAAAGCTAAGATCCCAGAATTCTATAACCAAAACCAGTCTGCCTAGAACAATGTTAAAGTTCAGTTTCATCAGTAATCTCACACACTTCTTCAAACATTCTTACCAGATCATCACTATTAACAACTATGCACCAGTGGAGAATTAACATTTAGGAGAAAACTGGGGGATGGGGGAGGGAAAATATCTGAAAATATGTATGTGAAACAATTAATGAATCCTTTTTGGAAATCCATAAGAATATTGGTCGGTCATCCAGTATCTTTCAAATTTTTATCTTTCAAAATTTAAAATGCAAGTCTCCTTTGAACAACAACTCATTTCCAAGACTTAATCCTTCAGCTATGAACACATAAACGCACAAAGGTATAAATACAAGAATGTTATTAATGAATTATTTGTAATAGTGAAAAGAGAGGAAAGGAAGGAGAAAGAGAGAAGGGAGAAAAGGAGGAAGTGGTGAGGAGGCAAGGAGGAAAAAGATAGGGGCAGAAGGGAGAGAGGAAAATCTCACAATCCTAGAGCAAAAACACAACAAAAAAACTCCATTAATAAGGAACTAATTTTAAAATACTGCTACATCCACACAACAGAATATAACGCATAACATACACTCAATAAATGTTTGCTAACTGATTTCCATAAGTTCCTTACTTTATGGGGAAGAACATTAAGAATGATATAAATAACCAGAGAGTTTGCCATTAATATTCCCTGTTCATTAGGTATAAGCAAAAATCTCATCAACAAGAAAATCGGGCCCACTCTTTGATTTACAAATGATGCATGAAGGGGTTCGCATTTTGTTTCCAACTTTTCCATCAGCTTCATTAGTGACCAACAACCATATTCAAGAATGGAATGGTAAATATGGCCACTTGGAAATCTACGTTATTACTGATCTTCCAAAGACATACAACTTGAAACCTTCTCCTAATAGCAATTCTTAACCGATTCTATAACCAATCACACATTAAACACACACAGGCTCTAATGAATAAGTAAAATATTTTAATTACCTTTCCTGTGCTCTGTAAGATAGTTGTTCGTGTCCTCCACACTCTTTCTCTGCTGACAATATCTCGGGTCACATCTACTTCAGCATCCACAAAACTCCTCTGTTTAAGAGCAGTTATATCATCATCCAGATCGGTCTTGATAGTAGATCTTTTCTTAGCCATAATTTTGGCTTTGATTGCAGCAATTTTTTCCACTGACATAGCTTCAGACAAAGACCTAAAAGCAATTTCATTTTTTAACTTTCACTGCAAGGATTCCTTTAGCACATCGTAAATATATTTTGTTACATCTGTAAGTGTCTGGTAAAAAACACTTTAAGTGGCAATAATTAAGGTTTTCTTATCTGTAAAACTGACACACTTTTGATATTTTGTAATCATGTAAGATTTTTATAGATGAAGAGTTCAAGTAGAGATATACTCTGAGCAAATCAGCAACTTCTTAGAAGGATCAACACAACAAAATTCTCCATGTTTTTTCATTTCTTCCCCCAAAATAGCAGGACTCATATGGGTGCTTTTCTTTATATTATCTGAGACTTTATTAGCTAACCCACCTCTATCGACAGAAATAACACACACATATACACAAACACACACACACAGAGGCCTCCTTAGAAGGGGAGTCAAAAAATTCATCCTGTAGAATTCGAAAGCTTAGGTCTTCCCTGAAATTTATTTCAAGGTTTCAAACCTGTATGTCATAGTGTACAACCTATTCTATAGGTGACAGAAGGTTTTAAATACCACAAAACACATACTCCTTTTATCTCTGGAAGATGAAACCATATTTTGAACAGCTTTCTTGTTCTTCCCTTTTCTTGACTTTCAAATAAACAAAACAGCAAAGACAGGATATGTTTGCAGAACTATAAAAAAAGACTTAACACTGAAAGTACAGATTTCATAAGATGATAGATAATCTTAAGCATAGTGTCTTTTTATAATGCAAAATGAGAAAAAGAATTAAAAAGTGTTTGGGTACTTTAACAACAGTAGACAAAAAAGTTACTTAAGTCACAAGATGAAAATCTTGAAATATTTTACAAAAAAATCTGGAAAAAGAACAGAAATTCCTGCAGGTTTAAATACAATATTATTATACAGCCTACTAATTTTATTTAGATTAGGTATGAAAACACTTTTATACCAGATGCTCAATACGCATCTGATATTTGAATCATTTTGTATAATACCATGCAACTTTCTCCTAAAAATCTAAAGTTTACAAGCATACCACATATACGAGTATTTGAGCCAAATTTAAACACAGCAGTTCCCCCTTATCCGCAGTTTCACTTTCTGCAGTTTCAGTTATGTACAGTCAACTGTGGCCAAAAATATTAAATGGAAAACTCCATAAATAAACAATTCATAAGTTTTAAATTGTGTGCTGTTCAGAGTAGTAAGATAAAATCTTGTGCTACCCAGCTCTATTCCCACCCCCACGATATAAATCATCCCTTTGTCCAGAGTATCCACACTATACATACTACACACCCATTAGTCACTTTGTAGCCATCTTGGTTATCAAATCAACTGTCGCAGTTATTACCACAGTGTTTGTGTTCAAGTAACCCTTATTTTACTTAATAATGGCCCCGAAGTGCAAGAGCAGTGATACTAGCAATTTGGATACGCCAAAGAGAAACCCTAAAGTGCTTCCTTAAAGTGAAAAGGTGACCTTGGTGTTCCTTGGCTAGAGTCTGGTACTATTCAAGATTTCAAGCATCCACTGGGTGACTTGGAAAAGATCTCACATGAATAAACATTATCCAAGCTATAATGAAGCCCACATTGAACTTTAACTTCCAGCTAAGATGGAATTAACAGGGACTGAATTAACCATCCCACCTTGAAATGACCAGTCAAAATACATGAAACAATGATTTACTAGATACTAGATATCAAGCAATGAAGGACAGTGATTCCCTGACAATGAGAAACAAACAAGGTGAGCCCAATGACTGCCCAGGTTAGTGCCTTGAAAGTTTCCAAGGCATGGCATAAGGAGGAGAACCTGGGCAGAACTTAGTGGACTGGGAATTCACAGGCCAGGGTACATGATAAGAGAGAGCTGCACAGAAGATCCCCCTCAAGTATTACAGCAGAATACTGATTAGCACATGAGAGGAAACTATAGAAGGCTAGGCAAAGAACCACCCAAGAAGATTAGAGGAATAAATGCCCAGTGCTCACATAAGGTGAAGAATAGTACCTATAACAACCAGCCAAAATGAAAACCTATAACCACCAGTCAAATGAAAACCTCTCATTTATGGGGCATTAAGAAGAGTATATTCAGAACGGTCTTGTCTTGGCAGTTGGTGAAGAATAACTAGCCTAACTGACCAGTGTTCAAATAAATCATAAAACCAAGACCCCAAAATAACAAACTATTTCCAAGTGATTTCTGTGTCCCAAAAACAAAGCTAAAGAAGATTTGGAAAAACACAAAAATATTTAGCACTGAACAAGTTAAAATACACAATGTCTGATATCTAACCAAAGACTACAAGCAACACAAAGAAGCAGGACAATATAAGCCAGACTGAAGAGGAATATCTGTTGCAAAGATATTAAAATAATTATTATAACTATGGTCCATATTTTCAACAAGTAGAGATATGGAATATATTTTTCAAAAAAAGAGAAAAAATAACTTCTAGAGATGAAAACTACAATGTTGCAGACTAAAAGTATAATGCATGGGATGGGATTACAGAGAAAATACTAATGAACTTGACAACAGAAACTATCCAAAATGAATAAAAAAGGAATAGAACTAGAAAAAGAATCCAAAAAATAAAAGAACATAAGTGAGCTGTCAGGCAACTTCCAGCTGAGTTTGAATAATTGAGTCCCAAAAGACAGTAGCAGAAAAAAAATTTGAAGAAACAATGCCAAAAATTTTCCAAATGTAATTAAAATATAAGCCCAAAAATTCTTCCAGGAAGCTCAATGGACCTCAAGCACAAGAAACATGAAGAAAACTTACCCAAGGTCAGGCCATAGTTGAATAGCTCAAAACCAGCAATACAGAAAAATTTTAAAGTAGCCAGAAGAAAAAAAACACACATTTCATATATATATATAAAAAAAAAAAAAAAAAAAAAAAAAGGCATGACAACACACAGGAGTAAGATAAGCAGCAGATTCCTCTCCAATCAAACCTACAGATGAAACCACAGTCCTGGCCAACATCTTCACTGCAGCTTAGTGAGAGACCATGATACAGAAAAGCTACCCAAGCCAGGCCAAAACTCCTGACCCACAGAAGCTGTGAAGTAATATATGTGTTTAAGCCACTATGTTTTGGATTAATGTGTTCTGCAGCAATAGATAAGTAATAAGATGAGAAATAGAGTTTATCCATAGAATACAAACTTGCAAAAAATCAACTTAATTTGCCATATTAAAAAAGAAAAACCTATGATCATTTCAATAAAATCAGAAAAAGCATTTGGCACTATCCAACATTCATTTCTGATTTAAAAAAAAGAAAAAAAAGGGGCCGGCCCGGTGGCGCACTGCTACAGTGCGCCGAGGGTTCGGATCCCACATATAGACCAGCCGCTCACTGGCTGAGCGAGGAGCGGGGGCAACACCGAGGGTTGCGATCCCGTTGCCGGTCCCGGTCCGGTACGGGCGCAACACTGAGGGTTGCGATCCGTTGCCGGTCACGAAAAAAAAGACAAAAAGACAAAAAAAAAAAAAAAAATTTCTCAGCCGACTAGAAAAGAAGGAAATTTCCTCAACCTGATAAAGACGATCTATAAAAGTTCTAAGTTACCATCACTCTTAATAGTGAAAGACTGAATGCATTCCCCTAAGACCAAAACAAGAAATGTCTGATCTCACTGGTTCCATTCAACAGTGGATGAGAGTCTAGCCAGCAAAATAAGGCAAAAATAAAAGGCATCCAGTTTGAAAATAAAGAAGACATTATTTATGTATAGAAAACATGATTGTCTATGTAGAAAATCCAATAAAATCTACCAAAAAAATTATAAGAACTAATCAATGAGTTTATCAAGATCACAAGATACAAGAGCAATATGTAAAAATCAACGGTATTTCTATACTAGCAACAATTAGGAAATGACATTTTTTAAAAAAAGACAGCATTAAAAATATAAAATATTTATAAATAAATATGACAAATAGGTGTATAAAACCTGTACACTAAAAATTATAAACACTGCTGAGAGAAATCAAAGAACTAAATATCTCTCCATTAATAAATGGAGAAATATACCTTAAGTCAGAAGACTCAATGTTTTTAAGTTGTAAATTCTCCCCAAATTCATCTATAAGTTCAATTCAATCTCAATCAAAACCCTAGGCTTTTTTGGTAGAAACTCACAAATCATGTCCAAAACTCATATGGAAATGCAAAGGACCTAAAATAAAATAGCAAAAACACCCTTGAAACAGAATAAAGTTGAAGGGTTAATACTAACTGAATTCAAGACTTATTACAAAGATACTATAATTAAAATAGTGCAGTATTGGCAAAAAACAAATAAATCAATGGAACAGAATGGGTCCAGAAACAGATCTACACATGTATGGACAACTGATATTTTACAAAGGTGCAAAGGCAATTCAGTGGAGACCCAGAAAGTGGATCACAGACAATTGTAAAACCTAAAACTACAAGACTTCTACAAGAAAATATAGAGGACAATATTTGTTGACCTTGCTTAGGCAAGAAGAAAAATTAAATATGACACCAAAAGTACAATTCACAAAAGAACACAACGATAAACTAGACTTCATAAAAATTAAAATTTTCTGCTCTTCAAAAGGTGGTGAGGAGAATGAAAAGACAAGCCACAGACAGGGAGAAATGTCTGCAAAGCACATGTCTGAAGAACGACCTATATCCAGTACATACAACAAACTTTCAAAACTCAATAATAATAAATCAAACCACCCAATAAAAAAAAAGAAAAAAAACATTGCAGACACTTCACCAAAGAAGATACAGAATGGCAAATAAGCACATGAAAATATGCTCACCACATCATTAATCGTGAGGGAAATGAAAAATTAAACCATAATGGGATACTCCCACACACCTATTAGAATCACTAAAATTATAAGCCTGACCATACCAAGGTACTGGTAAGGATGTGAAAAAACTCACTCTTATACACTGCTGATAGAAATGTAAAATGGCACCACCATTTTGGAAAATAAATTAGCAGTTTCTTAGTTCAATCTAAGCTGGCCAGTTAGCTCAAGTGTTTAGGGCATGGTGCTGACAACACCAAGGGCCACGGTTCAATTCTTATACCAGCCAGGTGCAAAAGAAAAAAACAAAAGTAAATCTATGCTACTGTATGATCCCACCATTCCTTTTCCAGGTATTTACCCAAGAGAAATGCAAGCACATGTCCATTCAAAAACTTGTACATACCTAGCAGCTTCAGTTGTAATAGCCGATAAATGGCAATAAGCTTTAAAATAGCTATCGACAGATAACTGGGTAAACAAACTGGTACATCATACAATGAAGAGTACTCAGCAACAAAAAGGAATAAATTACTGAAAGACCCAACAACATAATGAATCTCAAAATAATCATGCTAAGTGAAAGAAACCAGACCCCCCCCCCAAAAGGTACATTCTGCACAATTCTGTTTATAAATAATACTAGAAAAAAAACAAACTAATCTATAGTAACAGCAGATCATTGGTTGCCTGGGGAAGGAAGCATGGAAGTGAGGGATTACAAAGGTACACAGGAAATTTAAGGGGGTGATATTGTATTGGTTATCTTGACTTGAATAAAACCAAAAGGATTATATTGTGCTGAGGAAATATTATGAAGTGATTCTAATTACAGTAAACATCAAGGGTCAGCAAGTGAAGGTCACAGGCCAAATTCAACCAGACCCATCCATTAAGGTAATGTTCATGGCTGCTCTTCCTACCACAGGAGTTTAGTTGCAAAAGAGACCTATTGCCTGCAGGGCTGGCCCGTGACTCACTCGGGAGAGTGCGGTGCTGACAGCACCAGGGCCACGGGTTCGGATCCCATATAGGGATGGCCGGTTGGTTCACTGGGTGAGCGTGGTGCTGACAACACCAAGTCAAGGGTTAGGATCCCCTTACTGGTCATCTTTTTTAAAAAAAAAAAAGAGAGAGAGAGACCTATTGCCTGCAAAGCCAAAAATATTTAATAATGGCACTTGCCAGAAAAAGCTTGCTGACCTGTGCTATAAATCAACAAGAGATTACATGGTAAAATGAGTATCTCAGATTATGAAGTAATTTTTAAAAAAAGACCAATGTGATAATAGAATCAAGAAGGCGGCTTTCCAGAAAGCATAATAAGCACAACGGTTTCCAATCTCTATCATAAAACATGCCCATGTGTATCTTCTGAACTTACGGAACAGAAACATACAACGGTACTTCAAAAAGTTCATGGAAATATTCATATTATCTTTCAATTCTATTTTTCATAAAACATGCCCACACACGTTCTTTTGAACTTACGAGGGTACTTCACAAAATTCATGGAAACATATTATCTTTTAATGCTATTTTTCTACAAACTTGGTGAAGTACCTTTGTATAAAGAACAGAAAAGGAAAATGTAAATGTGAATAGCATTTTAATATTCCCTTTTCCATATACATTTATGTATATCTAAACTACCTTTCTACCAAAAAATCCTTACCTAATCTGTTCGGTCTGTACAATCCCTTCTTTGTGACCCTCCAAACGAGCAGCCAATCTCTCTTTATCAAGGCGCACACACTCTTCATCCTGTAAATAATAACTGGTTAGTCAATGCTTTAAATTTTTATTTAACTTTTATTTTTGTTGTCATTTTTGGGTTTTGGTGGCTAGCCACTACAAGGATCCAAACCTATGACCCGGGTGTTATAAGGCTGCACTCTAACCAACCGAACTAACCAGCCAGCCAGCCTGCCTCTATTTAACTTTCAGAAAGAAAAAACATTGCTCATAACTTTTCCTTACCAGAATTCCCACCTGTATAGTTCAAGGTATCACCATCCTTAGATCAACTAAGGACCACTTTTAGTTATATAAAGACAAAAAATAATAAGTATATGTTGGAACATATAACACTGAAACCAACTAAAAGCTTACCAAAAAAATTTGCTTAGTCACTTTTTTCTACAATTAAGTGTTCTTACCATAGTATATCACAGTACCTTTATTCAAAAAGATATACAACATGTAAATTCCTTTACTTTGAGAAAGCTTACAATTAAATTTTATGAGAAGGCTTCACCAGAGTCAAAACTTTCATTTTGGATTTTTTTTTCCTTCATCTGTTGCCACAGGTCCTAAATCGATCAGCACAGATCAAAACACTAGAAGTGAAACTTCAATGGTTTTCAAAGCATGTTCCCTAGATCATTAGGAATTTCCCACAAAGTTTCCCATGGGCCTCTTCAAGATCTTGTCTGAATTTCAACCTTGGTAGTTCAACTTTTATCTAATTTACATATTAAAATGTCAAGTAAAACGTAATCTGGAAAGTGTTTGGCTGCTTAAAAAGGCAAAACAAAACAAAACTTGGTAACTATGATCTAGTTCAATGTCCATATTCAACAGATAAAATTGAGGACCATAGTCAATGTCTATGGTTAATGGAATATGAAACTGTATAAAAATCATCAGTATACTCAAGATCCAAAAAATGCTGGGCTCCAATTCATGGACTATTATTAATCTATCACACATCAGCTGAAATGAATACAGGGTTAACATTTCAGCAAATGCATTAATTTTTCCACCATTTGTAACAAAGTATAACCTAGATTATTCAAATTCCTTAAGAAACTCCTGATTTTAAAGACAACTAGCCTAGATTTTAACCAAATCAGAAACCCTGACTTCGAGGTTTCTTTCCTACCATAGCTCCTTACAAGTCCTGAATAAACATATGCTGAACTGAAAACTTCCTGTAATACGCATATAGCTGTTTATATGACACATTTTAACTCTACAAATGATGTGGCAAGAATTTTACTATGCTATTTCCTACTGATTTTTCAAGTTATTGGAACCCAGGCAAATTAGCTTTTCTGCCACGTAGAATTTTTTCAAATAATTAGACTGTGATGTTCAGGTTTTTCATTATAAGTACTCCTAAATTCACTCACTTTGTTCATAGTGGTTCACAATCTCCTTTCAAACAGTGAGAACTGGGGAAAATCTCAGTTTTACTGCCACAAGATTCATATCCAGTATAGTAGAATGGTTAAGGAGCCAGACTGCCTGGGTTCTAATCCTGGTTCTGCAAACCTCAGCATGTCACTTATTCTGTCTGAGCCTCTGTTTACTCATACATGAAATGCATACTACTATCAAATGCATACCACTACTTCAGGAAGTTGTGGTGAGGATTACCTATGCTAATATACATAATGTAGTTAGAATATCACCTAGCACAGAGCAATAACAATGAGCCAGTTATCATTATTTCATTACTTAATATCAGGTCCACACTGCAGAATATGCTTAATTAAAATTATATTATTTTAGCATCAAATTTTGTCACTAATTCTACTGCACATACTTTACCAACCAACACTGTCCCTTCTAGTTACTTTTCTTATCCTTAATTGTGAATGCTTTGCAGACCAAAAGTACATATGTATAACTATTTGATTCTTACACAAGTTTAAAATGAAAAGATTCATGGTTTCTAGCAATGTTAACACTAGTGATGATTTTAAGTGTTATCTTTATTTTGTTTTAATTGACATATGACCAGTTTAATCATTTCTCTGATTTTAAGTGCAACTCTAGTTGACATGTCATGCTCCATTTTCAGGGGAGTTTATATGTAACTGATTCAGGACTTGATTTACATAAATAATCATGTAATTAAAATTCCTAAGGTTTAATTGTCATATGCAGTACACTAGCTGCATTAAGCTGTCTCACATACAAGCTATGTGATGAACATAACATTTCTTTTTTTTTAAAACTGACAAAAATTGTATATAGTTATCGTATATAACGTTTTGAAATATGTACACATTGTGGAATGGCTCAGTCAAGTTAATTAACATATGTATTACCTCATACTAATTTTTTGTGGTGAGAACACCTAATATCTGTTAGTGATTTTCAAAATATAATACATTATTATTAACTATAGTAATCATGTAGTACAATAGATTTCTAAAGGTAATTGCATTTCTTATGTGGCTTCTATCACACATGAACTATCCTTATTAACCAATATTAATATTCCACTTACTGGCTATAAAATACTATAAGAAATGTGGGACTTGTTATGTCAATATTTTAATACAGTAACTATAATAAGCATTTCATGTTCACAGGTCTGAAGAATAATGCAAATCCCCATACCACCTTATTCCAGGGGTAGGGAAAGCCAATTATGGGCTGCTATCCATTCTGTACAGTTTTATTGGAACACAGCCACGCCTGTTCATTCATGTATTATCTAAGGCTGCTTTTACCTTACAATAGCAGAGTCAAGAAATAGCAAGAGACTGTACGCCCACAAAGCCTAAAATATTTACTATCTGGTCTTCTACAGAAAAAGAACTTCTGACCCCAGATCAAGTCCAATATTTTCATCAATAAGAATATTAAAGCAAAGAAAATAAAATGATTTGTCCATCACATAGCTTGTATACGAGAGAGCTAAAAGTATAGCTCGAGCTACTTACTAATCAACCATTCTTTCTACTACAAAAATTTTTCCACGAAAAAAAAGCTCATAGGATTACTACAAAGAACTCTTGTTACTACACAATCCCCATTTCACTAACAACATGAATTGCCTTTAAGATGAAGTTCTATTACCTCAATTCGTGGCTTCTTTGCTTCTGCTAAAACTTCATCTGCAGCTCGTTTGACTATTAAAAAAAAGAGAAGCAAATAAATGTGTAGTTTGGGAATGGGTTTTCAATAAGTTCAATATAAATATGTGAAAAGACATACCTTGAGTAGATCGCTGAAGACCTATTTCTAAGGGGGCACTTCTGTCTATGCTTGCTGATGTTGCTGAAGATTTAAAAAGATTTATACGAGAAGATGAATTATTTAAATACATATTTTAGATATTATTACAAGTAAAATGATCAAAGTTTGTTATGTTTCTTATTTCTATACGGTGATTTCCCTAGGTAAAAAATAAGTTATAAAGCAGCTCTATAAAAGGATTTTATTAAAAAGATTAATCTGTATTAGAAAGTGTGTAAGAGGACAAATTTTAACAATTTTGATTTAGCTTACAAATTACTGAGATGATCTGACTGAAATTAACTGGTCATATGCTGAAAGTGTATCTAACATAAAGAACTAAATACATAAATGTATATAAATACAGAAGGAAACGTTTTTTTTTTTTAATTAGCATTCGCTTTTAACATGCAATTTTAAGTTACATTGGTAGAAAACTTTAAGTTATTTTTAAAATTAAATCACTTGATTTTTGAATGGCTCAAAACATTAAAACTATAAAAAAGGGGTGGTGTACCTCCTAACCTAATCCACCTAGTTCCCACCACCCTAACACCCACTGTTAGTCTCTTTTATATCCTTCCAGAGCTTCTTTCTGTAGATAAAAAAAAAAAATTATACTTTTATTTTACCCTCTTTTACTCAAAAGGTAGCATACTATACACATTTCTGAACCCTTCTTTTTAACCTAACAATGCATTTCCATCATCCCTTCATATCAATATTTGGAGCATTTCCTTACTCTTCTTTTACTGTTACAGTGGTATTCTATTAAATAGATTAATTATAATTTATTTAACTAGGTCCCTATTAATGAACAGTTCAATTCTAAAAGTTTTTTGTCATTACAATGACACAATAACTTCATAAGGTATATGTCATTTCATACATTTTCAAATATAGTCATACATGTTGCTCTGACAAACGCTCCATTAGGTAATTTTGTCATTGTGTAGGCATCAGAGTATGCTCACACAAACCTAGATGGTATAGCCTACTACACATTTATCATCTTATGAAGTACATTGTTGAATGAAATGTCATTATATGGTGCATGACTGTACACCTCTAAGATAAAATCTAAGATGCAGGATTTCTAGGTCAAATTTGCACTAACTGCTGCCAATTGTTTTTTTTTTTTTTTTTTAAAAGATGACCGGTAAGGGGATCTTAACCCTTGGCTGGGTGTTGTCAGCACCACGCTCACCCAGTGAGCTAACCGGCCATCCCTATATGGGATGGGAACCCGTGGCCTTGGCGTTATCAGCACCACACTCTCTCGAGTGAGCTGCGGGCCGGCCCCTGCTGCCAATTGTTTTTTAATTGATTGTTTTAACTGACACTTTAACCAACAGGGTAGTAGCATATCTGTTTCCTCATAGCCTCACCAGGGCATACCATCAAACTCCCAGATTTTTGACTATTGGGTTAAAAAAAAAAAGCTATCTCTGCACAGTTTAAATATTATGAATTAACGAAAGCATTTTTCATATGGTTTTACCACCTTTTCTGTGAATTGTATGAATATAATCCATTGAGTTGTTGGTCTTTTATGCATATATTTCCACGACAACTTTATATATTAGTGAGATTGGCCCTCTATCTGTGATGAGTTGAAATATCTTTCCCCAGTTTGTCATGTCTTTTGTTTTTCCACAATGCAAAATATTTTTATTTTTATCAACCTATTAACTGAATAATCCCACCTTTCCTCCCCCACTGATTCGACGTGTTACTTATATATGACTCACGTTATTCATGTTAAAATCACATATGTACACCTATTTCTAATCTAACATAAGAAAGTTGTTTTATTAGTGTATCTATTCTCTCACAGTTTTTAAATTATTGGGGCTTATTATAAATTCCAAACTCTAGATGACTAGTCTTGTTCACATTGCTCTTCTACAAATTTTTAGGACACTTACTTTTACCAATGAACTTTGAATCACCTTGTCTAGTTCTACCCCTCAATCAAGAAAAACTGCAGGGATTTTTACTGAGATCATGTTAAAAGCATAAATAATGTTAAGAACTAGTATCTTCAAGCCATTATGCCTTCCTAAAAACAAGGTGTTAACATCTGCTCAACTTTTTCATTAAACCGTTATATTAACAATTTTAAAAAATGGCAAAGCAATATACTTGATGACTAAATTTATTTGTCCTTTAGAGACTACAGGAAATGATGTGGATGGGTAAAGGGCAACTCTTTTTTTTTTGGATTCTTTAAAAGAAAAATCAGGGCCGACCCCGTGGCGCACTCGGGAGAGTGCGGCGCTGGGAGCGCGCGGGTTCGGATCCTATATAGGGATGACCAATGCGCTCACAGCGCTCACTGGCTGAGCGCAGTGCGGCCGGTCTCAAAAAAGGACAAAAAAAGAAAAAAAAAAAGAAAAATCATTTGCTCTAAAGTACTCCCCCAAAACTAGCCCATTTATCAGGCTCACGAAATGCTTATTAAAGAATCTTAGACCCCATACCAGATCTTCTGAATCAAAAACAAAAACAAAAAACTATATTTAACAAGTATACCACATAATTCTCATGATTTAAGAAGTTATGGAAAGAGTGCTCCAAAGAATTAAATTTGCTTTGATTCAAGAAAAACCTTCCCCTGACCTCCCCAACCCCATCCTCTTCACAGGAAAATTGGCATCCCTCCTTGATCCTCCCCAGGGTTCTAACACTTTGTGCTATCAGTCTCCCTTACATAACAGTAAACCTGTTTAGGACAGGGATTCTGCATTTTGTACAGCACTCAGCATAATACTTTTAAGAATAAGAATTTGGGGTTGTCCACTTAGCTCACTTGGTTAGAGTGCAGTGCTGTTAACACCAAGGTCAACGGTTCAAATTCCCATACTGGCTGGCCACCAAAACAAACAAACAAACAAAAAAAGAATAAGAATTCAATAAAGACTTGTTAAATGAGGACAGCACAGGAAGAAAACACTACTAATGATGATCTTTCCATTATGCACAAGACTGTGTAAACCAATCTTACTGCTTTAAAGCCATGGAGCAGAATATGTGACAACAAAGCTGTTAATGACTTAAAAGTAGTAAACTGCATCCCAGGGAAGGTGAGAGCAAACAGTTCTGTTATATCAATTTATTTGTACCCTGTAAAACAGTAAGTTAATAATTATTCATTTGTTCAGCTAAGCACCTACTATACACCACTATTCTAAGTGCTGGGTATTTAACAATAAACAAGACAATTGTCTGCCCCTTGAAGTTTACCCTCTAGTGGGGAAGCCAGACAATATGGAAGTAAACATATATATATACACACATATATATAAAATTTCAGGTTGATGTATGGGATGTGGTGAAAAATAAATCAGTATGGTACTATACACAGACAGGGGGATGGAGAGACGCAATGCTATTTTATACTTTAGCTAGAGCAGTCAAAGAAGTTCTCCCTGACGGAATAACATTTGGAAGAACATTTAAGCACAGATCTGAATGAGACAGTGAGCCATACCACAATGCAGAGAAATAGAATTCCAGACAGAGAGAATAACAAGTACAAAGCTCTAAAATTAGAACAGCTAAAAGGCCAATGAGACTGACTGCTATAAGCAAAGGAAGACTATAGAAGGTGAGGTCACAGAGATTTGGGCAGAAGCAAGGTCACATAGGCTGGGGTAAGGAATATGAGCTTTATTCTAAGTGTGCTGGGAAGCCACAGGAGGTCCTTGAGCAGGTGAGTGACACAATCAAGTTTATGTGCTTTTTCAAAAACAGGTTACTGCTAACTGCTAGGCAGAGACTACACTGTACGAAATAAAGAGTGGGACCTATGCGGAGGCTATACGAAAGTCTAAAGAGGAAGGATGGAATACCGTCGAGGTAAAACAGTAAGAAGTGTCATACTTTTAAAGACAGTGAAAAGGACTTGCTGACAGAATGCATGTGAGACGTACCAAAGATTTTGCTAGGATTTTTGGTCTAAGCAAATTCATGAATAGTACCATTACTCATTACTAAGATGGAAACAATGGGGGAAGAACAGACTTGCTGTTTTTGTTTTTGGTTTTTCTGGGGGGGAAGGGATGGAGGGAATTGAACATTCTATTTTGGATATGTTAAATTTCAGATGCCTACTAACCATCCAAGGGAAGATGTTGACAATGCATTTATAAATCTGGAGCTCAGGAAAAAGTTAATGATGATGACAAACATTTGGAATTTATCAGCATACATACGGTATTTAAAGCATTAAACTGGAAGAGGTCACTAGAGATTAAGAGTTCCAAGAAGAGAAAAAAAGTCAACACCTGGAAAACTTCAAGAACCAGAAGTCAGGCACAGAAATAACCAAAATAAAATGAGAGGTGGACAATGAGTTGGAAGAAAACCAAAAGAACCTGGTGTCCTGAATGCCAAGTGAGAAAAAGAGAGTGGTCAACAATATCAAATGCTCTTAGAAGGTCAAGTAAAGTAAGAGAAACCAAAGGAGGTGGCAACCCTTAAGTCAGTGTCAACCTTACAAAGAGAGATTTTAGTGAAATGGTGAGGATGAAAGCCAGATTGGAGTCACTTCAAGAACAAATCAAAGATAAAGAAGAAGCAGTATACCACACCAACTCCTCCAAAGAATTTTGCAGCAACAGGGAGAAAACAAATGGTGTAACAGACAGTAGGAATGTGGTGTCAAAAACACTTTTTAGGGCCGGCCCGGTGGCGCACTGCTATAGTGCACCGCTTGGGAAGCGCAGCGGCACTCCCGCCGAGGGTTCGGATCCCACATACAGACCGGCCGCTCACTGGCTGAGCGAGGGGCGGGAGCAACACCGAGGGTTGCGATCCCGTGGCCGGTCCCGGTCCGGTACGGGCGCGACACTGAGGGTTGCGATCCATTGCCAGTCACGAAAAAAAAAAGACAAAAAGGAAAAAAAAAAAAAAAACACTTTTTAAAGGTGAGAGATCTTACCATATGTATTCTAAAAGAAAATGATGCAGAAGAAAGGAGAAAATTGACGATGCAAGAAAGAAACATCAATTTACAAAGACAAAGTCTTTGAGACTGTGAAAAGAGATGGAATCCATATATAAAGGAAGGGGTGACTGGCCTTAGGAGCAAAGATAGTACATTCGCTATAACAAAAAAGAAGGACAAGCATATGACACAGCTGAAACTAGATTAATTTTTTAGTAAGAATATAAATTCTCTTCCCACTACTTCTTATTTCATAGGGGGAAAAAAGAAACAATGTCTGTCTAGCAGAAAGAGCATTTAAAAAGTACTCACATGCTTCACCATTGAGATATCCAAGTAGATCTTTTCGGTCAGGTCTTCTAACCACAGGAATATTTTCAGTCTGAAGATAAAATTTTAAATATCAAATGAACAACAACTATATGAAACTCGATAAAGATATGCATCATATAATGTCTGAATTTTATTCCAATATATTGATAACATATATTTAAAATCACATTTGTAAAAAATGACAAGGCTAAAAGAACCTAATAAAAATCTTGAACATTTTTTAGACATGTTAATTTCTGGTAATTTTATTTTTGAAATTCCAGGAAGATATACAAAAGATAATGATTAGAAATGAAGCAATGACTCTATCCATTTTCAAACTATCAGTTCCAGTCTTTTTTTCCCTTGGCTTACTCTACATATTTTTTTTTAGTAACACTCACGATGGTTTTGCTCATGTGAGTCTATTTTCTTTTTAGTCCCATAGTCCCACTGCTTTCTCACTTTATGCAGTGTCTTCAAAGTGCTCTTTTTTCACACACAAATCAGATCTCTTCAAAATATTTACCTGAACTCTTTCAAATAAACTAAATTAGCCACTAAAACAAAGTTTTAATAATTAACTATAGGTACATGTAATTTAGGCAGGGAAAAAGGTATAGGAATTTATAAAGAAAAATGTTAATGGTCGTTGTTTACCTTCTACATTACATATTTCTTTTTTATCCTTGAGTGTGTATAAATTCTGTAAGCGGGGGAAAAAATTTAAAAATTAAACCTGAAAAGCTTATTCATTTCACTAAAATGGATAATTTTCCTTTAATCACCTACTACATTAGCAATTTCTTAAGAGGTGAGCAAACAAAAGTATATACATTAGGCACCAAGTCATCTTTGAATGAATTCAATGAATTCATAGATTGTCATGAATTCAATGAATATCACAATTTTCCTTATCATTTTTCTAATGTCAACAAACAATAGAGTGCAAGAAAAACTGGTGGCTATGGGATTATACAGTTTAAATACTTTGTTATCTCATATGAGCAAGAATGAAGTAACATCAAGAACTCTTAGTATAGTTGGCCAATTACCTTATACTGAGTACTGATTACATTTCACTGCACCAAACATTCTGCACATACTCCTCAATGATTTGGGTGAACTATACTTAATCACTTGAATATTAATTTTTTTTTTTAAAAGGCTAAATTTTAGTTTCTCCTTAGGAGTACAAAAGTTTAAGAGCACACGAGTTTTTTATGCTTGTATTCTTTTTTTAAACCAGCTACATGGAATATCATAAATAGTTGATATTTATGATATTATATTATAATTAATTATAATTATATATATATAATTATGTATATATATTTGAATTAATTTTTTTTAAATTATTGTTTCTAAGCCTGATAACATACTTCATCATTTGGTCACTGTTGAGTTATGTACACATTACAGCCAATTAAAAAAGATGTAAGTCTGGGCCGACCCCGTGGCTCACTCGGGAGAGTGCGGCACTGGGAGCACCAAGGCTGCGGGTTCGGATCCTATATAGGGATGGCCGGTGCGCTCACTGGCTGAGCGCAGTGCGGGAGACGCCAAGCCAAGGGTTACGATCCCCTTACCGGTCACAAAAAAAAAAAAAGACGTAAGTCTACTCACACTAAAATTGAAGTATGGGTCATTAATACCTATTTCAGGAATAGTCTGTTCACAAGAAAGAGCAAGTAACGCAAAGGAATGAGGAAACAACAACCTCAAATTTGTAGAATCTAGAATTATAAAATTCTGCCCTTCTTATTTGGCAAGTACTTAAGAAAAATAAGAGTTAAATCTTAAGTGACCGAGTATCCTAGGGTCCATAGTAACAATTATAGCTGTCAGTTATGTGCTACCACCATTCCCCAAGAACATAATGAGGAATTTAAACCAAGTATCTGAGTCATCTTTATTACCCCAAAATGAGTGGATATATCAAACAAAACACTCTAATAATTGTCTCATTCAGTTTTTAAAGATCCAATATGAGTTAAAGTAACTTTAAAGAGAGAGATGCGATTATTTTTCGCACAATATCCCACGTAGTTTTGCCCTAAATTTTATTTTTTTAAAAATAGTTAAGACTAAATATGTATTTCTTGTTCAGAAAAGCAGGAGCCTTATGATTTAAAACTTACAAAGCCCATTAGATGATGGGATACTTTCTCAATTGTTTTAAATAACAAGGTATTGTTTGGTATTTGGTAGACACCTAACATAAGCCAGAAACCTCAACTATTACTATTGGAGAGGGGGGAGAAGGTTATAGAAGTAAATTTCACACAGCTTAATGCAATCTACCAACTGTGTTAGATAGTTCAAAAAGTGGCTCTAGTGATGAAAGACACAATTATGATGTTTGTGAAAAGTTTGAATGAAATTGTTTTTAGAACTATAAGGAATGGGAAAAAGCAGTGCTTATAAACTAATATCTTTTTTTTTTTTTTTTAAGAGACCACCCCGCTATGTTGCCCAGGCTGAAATGCAGTAGCTATTCACAATCACAATCCCACTACTGATCAGCACAGGAATTTCTGACCTGCTCCATTTCCAACGTGGGTCCATTCACCTCTCCTTAGGCAACCAGGTGGGTCCCCACTCCTAGAAGGCCACCATACTGATTCCAAACTTAGTGGGGACACTGGATTGGCATAGCACACTATAGCCCAGAACTCCTGGACTCAAGCGATCCTACAGCCTCAGACTCTGGAGTACCTGGGGCTACAGTCACACGCCACCACGCCCAACCAAATTAATACATTACATACTTAATTTTAAGTAAGTTAAAACAAATATTAAAGTCAGACATTTGATTATTTCCATTATATCCCCCCAAAAATCTTATGTTTGACTCTACCAAAAGTAATCTGAGGGAGAGTCTTATTTTACAAAGTAAACATAATCTCTTTAGGACATTTTATTTGGGCATTAATAGCAATTTGCCATGTGTTACAGCTATCATACCCAAGTACCTCTGAAACCTATTTACTTATCAACGATAATATACTGCTCCCCTACAAGTGAAGAATCTCATCATCAAAGTCTCTGTGAAATCGGCTCTTTTCAAGTTGTTTCTAAAGACTTCCTTGGAGTAATAAATTAATTTTCTAACACTGAGAAAGCAAGCAAAATTAAAAACAAACAGATTTATCAACAGAGTATGAAAATAGCTGTATTAGTTGCTTAAAAAATAATTTTTAAAGTATTAATCTTGATTCTTATGACAAAAAGTTTTCTTCATTTTTCCATAGGCTTATAATTTTTTTAAATTCCTATAGATGCCTTTAAAACTTCTGTTGTTACAAACATTACCCACACTTTACGTGAAAAAAAGTCACAGATTAAAAAATTGGTATAAATGACACAGTACCCTAATTTTGATCTTCTGACTTTCATATAAACCTTTCATTCTTTTGATTTGAAACCTATGAGGGAAGTTATCCACACCAAAGGATACCTACTATCGATGAGGTTTAAAAAAAAAAGTTTTAAAATGAATCCTACTTACAGCTGCACGTCTGACATACACAGGATGAGAAAGATGCACATTGTTAAGTAGAAATAAGATGGAATCCAATGTGTAGTATTCTCTGGGTTGTCCTTCCTTTCCAGTCCTGAAATAATTAAGACAAGACTTTTTTACTTGCATTTCTAACTCAACTCTTTGGGCTTAATTACTATATATGTATTTATTTATCTATAATTACTTTGCTATCCCAACAATGGATTCAACACGGCTAACAAAAATATACACAAAGTATAAAGGCAAAAGGAACGCAAAAGAAGGCAATTACAAAAAGCAAGAAATAGGGAAAGCAAACAAAATTCATACTTGAAGGCACTATACACTTTTTTAGAATTAGGCCCGAAATAAGGTTCTAGGCTTTGTCAACAGAGAAACCTAACCAATTAGATTGGAAAGGATCCATAGAGAAAATAAACTGCTTAAGAGAAGAGCTGGCCAGTTAGCTCAGTTGGTTAGAGCACAGCCTTGTAACACCAAGGTCAAGGGTTAAGATCCCCCTGCGGGCCAGCTGCCAAAAAAAGAGATAGAAACACAACTATCATTGTTGCCAAACTTAAAAGAAAATTATTCTGTGGATCTTACTGAACAAGATACTGCTTAACAATATTCTTACAGTAAACAAAGCAATAAATTTCTGAGGTATGATTCTTATGACATCCCTCAAATTAGACCAATAATGCAAAAACAAAATGCAGTTATCTTTGTGATGAAACAATGTGGTCTAAGGGTCCAAGCTCTCTAATGAAGGCACATATATGACCTAGAGTCCAATCCCACCCGTCCTCCTACATTCTCCCCATCTAGAAATGTCAATGTATTATTTGAACTCATCTGAATGCAGCCCACTAATAATGAGCCCCAAACCTACTTTTCTAGCCTCTAATCCCACTTTTCCTCTAAATCTACGTACGTATATTTCAGTCCACACATCACTATCAATTACCGTACTATGAAATCCAATACATGAGTTAACAACCAGACTTTTTAGGATATAGAAAAGAGAAAAATAACAGAATGCACTGCATGCAACGAAAGTATTGTTTATACATATACATATTTACAGGTGTACAAACACACACATACAGAAAATGAAAATAACTTCTTGGTGTGATTAGCTGTTGAAAAAGTTTGAAATCTACTGTTCTAAGCATTCCTTTTTCCTGGCTTCACTGAATTGCTGTCAAAACATTTCCTTTCCAGCTCTCACGTATTTCATACTGTTCCTTCATCCTGGAAGACCTACTCCCCCATTTCACCCACAAAATTCTTACCCATTCTTTAAAGCTTATTCATTTGTTCGGTCACTTATTCAGAAAACTTTGTTGGATGCAAACATGCCAAACACACTTCTATGGAACCGCCCTCAAATACTCCCAACCAGAAGTGACTGCACGCTTAAGAGCTAGAAAGCATTTCACATCAAGTTATCTGTTTTATCTCCTCTATTCAGTTAACCTCCTCTGAGGCAAGTACCAGGGTATTAGGAATTTTTCTACTTCTCAGATTCAATATAACCATTTTTTAAAGAAAAAAATTAAAAATCCAATAAAATGTAATCCTCTCTATGCAAAATTCTTTGAAAGGGTAAAGCGCAGGATTCTCAGAATATCATTTAATCAACTTTTCTTTATGAAGAAATTATGCTAATTAAGTCAAAAGGGAAAAGAAAAAAACCACTAAAAGCCAACAGACTAAATTTGCCCTACTTTTTCGTCGACTCTGCATAAAGCTCATTCCATTCAATCAAACAAAAGGAGTAGAGAAGTTCTGGCTCAAGGTTCTAATTATCCAATTGAAGCACCAATGATAGTCACATCGTTTAAAAAGCCCCTCATGATTATTAGACCTGTCCCTAGATGTCTTCCTGAATGACTTAAATTCGCGAAACTCCACGTGGGTCAACATTCCTCGACACTTCTCTTTAAAACACACTTCCCAAAACAGTACACACCATCAATTTCCTAGACCTGTGAAGCTCACGCCACTGCACCAGTAACTTTGTCCCTGAGAAACTCCTGCCTTCACCCTTAACACAGACTTTAATGACTCCTCCAAGTTCAACAAATCCCTTTCCCGTCCTGAGTCGGCAGAGCTGATTCCTTTCTCTCTCCCCAACAGCGAAAGAGTAAACAGACCAGGCGCTGCAGGGCCAGCGGAGACAGTTACAACGCACGGCGGCCTCGGACGGAGGGAAACAGGACGAAACGGAAACGCCGGCTCCGGCGCCGCCGCGCCCCCTCGCGCGCCTCTGCCCGGGGCCACCTGCGCGCCAGCCCCGCACGTCCAGGGCGCTCAACGCGTACAGGTGAGAACAGACCGCAACAGTCACAAGCTCCCTTTGGCTTCTCAAAGACTTAAAGACACGAACCGATCCAGACGCAGCTCTCCAGGACCCTCCTCACCCTCCAAGTGCAACTTGTGCTCTGAGGAGAAACTTTCCCCGGAGCACCCATTCTTCCCATCCCCGAGGGAGACGGGGGGAGGGGCTGGCAAAGAGGTCGCCTGAGGGCGCCCACCGCTGTCCCGCCATCCCGGGACCACGGCCATGCCGACTTACCCCCAAACTACATAGTTGGTCTTCACGTTCTTGGGCCAGGAGAACTCCCCGAAGATCACTTCGTCTCCCTTCACCACAATCTCCTTCTTCTGGATGTTGTACTGTCGCAGGACGCTGAGCACGTCCGCCATCTTCCCCCCCCTCGCCGCCGCCGGCCCCGGGCGCCGCCGCCGCCG